CAAAGCAGTAAATGTTACCATATATATATATGTGATATTTATATTTGTTTTGTTATTAAATTATTATCCATGCTTTTATGCTCTGGTAAGGGTCCATATAACTGTTTTTTCTTAATAAATGTATAGTATATGAACCATCTGTTTGCACAAATATCTTAAAAACTATTAAATGTAAAATAGTTATTTACTATACTTACATAATATAATAGTTTTTTTTTTCTCGTTCATATATTCACAGATTTGATAAATAATTAAATATGATTGTACAAGCTCGGGGGCAAGAATTAAATCTAGGAAGTATTTTTTATTATTATTGTTATAATTGTAATACGTAAGAAATATCTTGCAGTGACTGAAAAATTAGTTGTTTAGTTTTCTAGGGTAATTGTACAAATGATGGGGCCCCTCTCAGAAAGGGAAAAGGGAAAAGGGTAATGGGCATGAATAGAACAATAAAAATTGGTGGTGCAGGAGGTGAGAGATGAAAAATCGAAAATTTGAAGAAGAAACTAACGTACCCTCATAAATCAAATACTTTTATTATATATTGCTGTCGCCAGTAATTAAAGCTAAAGTTTCATGGAGATTGTGAGATAGCAAACAAAGTGGTTCTGTCTCTTCGTGCCTAGTCGGTTATCCTATTTCTAGTATCCATGGTAAGGGAGTTAGGCGTATGAATTTACCAATTTTACTGCGATTTGCAAATGCGCACTAGTGATTTTTAAAAAATGCGCAATATGCAAATCGTAGTAGAAAAAACCGAACACACCTATTTACAAGTGTGTTAGGTATGCTCACTTCTCGGACTTGCGCATAATACTCGAAGTAGTTGTAAGAGACATCAACTCATATACGTGTATTATATTACAGATGTCTACACCGTAATAGTTTCATATAGCCTAATCAAATAGTGTAAAATTTATTTTAATGTTTTTACAAGGTTGTCCTGGCGACTCCCCCCCCCCGCCACCTATATTTCCCTCCGACTAACTAACTCTCTCATACAGAATTTCTATTAGCAATTCCCACCTCCATACTCTGCACTTTCTTGTCTCCACCCTTTTTTAAAAACACTTATTTAGTGTTCTGCATAGTCAGCCCCACCCTATTCTCCCCTTTCGAGAGGTTGTCCCATCATCTACACATTTGCCGTTTTATAGTTTACAACGTTATAATTTAAATTTTGCTGATACATCCTTGACACGGTAGTTTTGTTATTGTTACTTCTGTAAGTTGAATATAGTGTAAGATACTAAAACAGATCTTGACAAAATCTTAAAATGTAAAAATTGAAGTTATAGCAATATAAGTAGATTCATTGTAAGGGAGGATATATAATTTTTGATTTACTGTTTAAAATTTTGTTATAAGTACAGAATGGTAAAATTTTGTTTCATTCGCATTCAAATAACAAAAAACAATAATTGTAAATAATTTTTAACCTAATGTTTAAAGCCACAATTGAATATTTTTTGGAGTGAATCATAATTCACCCTTTCTACATCATAACAATAAACAGTGCTATTGTGTGGATTTTGCTTTAACGAATTTTCATCGTGTTAATATTGATGACTTTTCTTACGATTAGTATAAGTCTGTATTATTGGCTTTGATTTTTTGATAAATTTCGAAAATTGCCAATTCTGTTCTAGTCATTGGCTATAATTTTACGATCGCACTATGTACTTTCATTGTACGTGTAGTATATTGTAAAATTTCATAGATAAAATACTTATCAGATAAATTCCAAAACTATATAATAAATAAATGTGAAATTAAAATGTGTTTTATATTGGTAATTTTAATAAAAAAGAACCCAATGGCGGATCTACTTAAGTGCTTTTTGGACTGCAGCCCAAGGCCCCGTGAACCCTAGCCTCTATTGCAAACAATAGACGGTATTGTGAAGAAAAAAAATATTTAAAACTAAAAACAATTCAATCATAAGGTTGGCAACCTTGTTTTCGTCAGTGTATTTTCTCGCTTGGGTGTTTATTACGGGGGACTTCCCGCTGCTTATCGCCTGACGCAATTTTTTTCTGTGCTTTTGTTCTCGTCGTCAAAGTAACAAACTGACTTTGTTATTGTTAAAACTCTTTATTTCATTTATAATCAATTTGGAACCTTTTCTTTAAAAAAATCTTAATAAATAACATTCCTTCAAAATAAAAAAATGCTTTAACTAAAACATGATTATTATTGAATTATTATTATTGTCGATTAAAAGAATGTTTTTGATAGAAACATGATTTAATTGAACAATAAACTTAAAACTATTATTTTAGAGGAACTATTAAAATTATTAAAACCATCAGTTCGAAAATTTTGTAAAAGATGTCGCCACGTTTTCTGAAAGGTAAACCAGAAAGATAAAGCCAAAGAAACTAAAATAAGGTAACTTCAATATTATATTATAAGTATTTGATATCAGTACTGGTAATATTAATTGAAGTAAATGACGAAAAGAAATAGTATAAATAGTTGTAAATGAAATAATTAACATTTTAAATAAAAAATAATCTATTATTTATTTAAAAAAATATTGATTGTGAAGTTTTAACAACTAATTAATTCCAACTGAATTTCCATTATAATTTTAATATGAATGTTATAATTTTATATTGTGCCTACCAATTTTTGAANNNNATATGTAAAACTGGCTGGGTGGCTAACTATTAAGGAAATAAGAAAAAATGATAATCTGTCACTTATTGACTTTTTCTATTATAAAAGATTATTATTAAGTCATATTTTTTCAAATTTATGCTAGGAAAAAGTAAAGTGACGGTGGATAACAAAGCAGTAAATGTTACCTCAGATGATCTTGCTTCAGGTAGGATTTTTCAAATGAATGCCATCTTTTTTAGACCAGTAAGCAGTTTTGATCCCTAAAAATTGAAAAAACTCCTGAGTATGTGAAACAAGGCCAAGAAATTAAAATTAATTTAAGTTTGTCGGAATACTTTTCGTAACTTCTCTATAAATCAATCTAAGTTAGGTACGAGAAACTACATTATTTATTTATAATTCTAGAATTCGTAAAATGCCGTTTTTATTTTAACCTTTATACTATAAGAAAGAATATTTTCTTTCGTGTACAATAGGTACCTATTGTTTGTTTCTTTGTAAAGCATATTTATCTGTTGCAACTTGTTGGTAAAATAAACAGTGATAGAAAAAGTCGAAAGATATTCTGCGTTTGTTTTCTTCTTTTCCAAAACGAATTAGAAATAGAAAATTCAACATTATTCTCTTGTCGTTTATTATGTGTCTACTACATTCCACTCGGTAGTTCTTGTAGATTAGATAGTTAAATTAAGTAGGCATCTGAAATTGTTAAATTTCGTTTTTGAACAATTTTTTAGTAATAACGCTGAATCATTTGTTTAATTAGTTGAAAAATTAACATATTTTTATAACGAGTGTGGAATTGGATTCTAAATCTTTACCTCTCTCTGATAAAAGAAAATACTAAATTGTAGTTACCCCCCTTTAGTTTAACTTTATTTTGCTTTAATATAGTAGCATGGAGCAGCTCGGTAGTTTAAATGATATTTTCTGTCGTTTGAATACTTTATTTTAAGGTGCATTGTCACTCACTTACTTAAGGTAATTTAAAATAAATTTCTGACTACCAGAAACAACTTCAAGGTATTACACCTACACTATTCTAAACGATAGTACATATTAACCATTAAATTATTTATTACATTCTTCTCTTTTCCTCAGACTCTAGTAAAAGTTTTATATGAACGAACATTTCAATATCTTAAATCCCTTTGTCGCGATCAGCGACTTTATATGATATAACAACTTTTAGAACAAACGTCTCCTCAGCAGAATGACGAATGTCCTTTGGAAGATATGCGACAACATTTACAGAACGTCATTGATCATATGGGACCTGAAACACCTCATTATCGCTTTACAACCACCACAAGTACTGAATGTTTAGATGGAGACAATGAAGAGTCATATTTTGAATCTACTTCTATAATAAGCTCTGTTGTTCAGGTAAATTTTAAAATATGCATAATAAGAATATCAAGTAAATAGCAGTATATTGCTATCTTTAGATATTTGCTGTTACCTCTAGTATTTTACAATATTTGATAAGGCTTTCCCTGCTAAACAGAAAAAACTTAAAAAAAGCTTTTAGGTGTTTCAATTAAGTTAGTACTGTTAAGAGACTATTAGTATTTCACAAAGATCCGCTTTAAATCTTAAAATCAAATTTAATTGTTTATTTCTCATTGTTATTCAAATATCATATAAACGCATTTCAGATAAAACAAATCCAAATGCAGGAGCAAGCTTTCGACACTCTTGATTCCTCCGAAGTATCAGCTATCCCACCTGATACACAAAGGACAGATTGTCAAGATGCTGAAGTCCAAGTTCCTTCAAAAAATTCGCTAGAAAAGGGTCATCAACACGTTTCGTGTGAACGACCATGTTATTGTCCAAATCCATCATATGGGTATCATTATCAACCATGCTACATACCATATCCGAATTTTCCACAGCCTCTTCCTATCTGTTGCTCACCGCCCATACAGCCTCAAGAACAACAGCAACCCACGGAAATGATTCATCCGTGCAGGGAAGCTGTAAATGTTCCTCCAAAACCTGTTCAATCGCAACCAAAACCCTGCCACCATCCTCAAGGTAAATAGACCTCAAAATCTAAAAACTCAAAACTTCTGGAATAATTATAAAATTGTATACAATTTCACATAATTTTAAGGGCATAAGATATATTATGGTTTTATCAAAAATAATGTTTATTTCTAGGGAGATACGTTATACCCAAACATAACTGTAAGGGATGGTCGTTTCTAAAATGTTTTAGAAAAGAACGCCCAAAAAATGAATTTATTAAACTGTACGTCGAAAATCCTTCTGAACATCATCCACCCGAGGTGATTATTCCACTTTGAGTATATATCATTGAGTTACAAAGAGAAGGAAGGTCAGAAAAAAATTACTTTAAAATTGTGGGGATGCAAATGTTATAATACGTACTAAAATGAAAACTAAAAAGTATTGTCGATTAATCTATAGTAAAGACAGTGTGCTTGAAATAATTAAAATTGGAAAATAACACCCTGTATACAGTAGAGTGTAGGAGTGATAACAGCTTTTTATCTGAAATTTGCAACACCGCAACACCAGTACCCGATTTATATTTATTTTAAGTATAGGGTACTTCACTTTGTACCGTCCCTTCCTACTACTTTCTTATTTTGATCTTTAATCACTTCACTCGTATCTATTTACCTCGCCCTACACGTTTAAAGTATTAGTTATTAAAAAACTATTTTAGAAATATTTTGGTGGATAAGTTAAGTAGGTACGGAAAAGTGAAATGATTGAATGAAAATCATAAAATAAAAGTGTAAAATGAAACAAAAATGGCACCTTTTTACGTAACTTTTTATTGTCAGAGTTTATGCTCTTCATCGTCTCTCTGATTTTGTTTATAAAAGGGCAATGGGTGAGATTTCTAGAGATAATAAGGATCTCTGATAATTTCTCACTCGCTTTAAACGAGGAATGCTCCTTTCTCGAGAACAATTTGTGATCGAAGTATAAAGCGTTATCCAATTTTAGGTAAAAGTTGCACAAATACTGGTTTCTCAATAACACAGAGAGATTCATCATGATAGGGTCGTCAGTCCTAAGACTGGTTGGACATGTACCTCCACTCATTCCTATCCTGAGCTAAACTTCGCATTTCCCTAAAACTAGAACAACCCACATCATTAACTATTTGCGAACAGTAATCTAACCTAGGTCTACCTCTACCCCTCCTAACTCCTGTTTCTGCCTCTAATATGTCTCTGACTAGACCTTCATGCCTGATAAGGTGTCCTACATGCCTGATAAGGTGTCCTACCAACCTATCTCACCTATTTTTGATTGACTTCCATACAGTCCTCTGTTCTCCTATTCTTTCTAATACCTCTTCATTTCTAACCTTTTATATCCACGTTATCCTCATCATTCGCCTATAACACCACAGAGAGATTATAATGATAAAATTAATAAAATCTTTATATTATTGGGACAATTTTGCACGAGAGACTGGACTTTTCTGTGAATCTAAAATCTGCGTCCCCTAGGCTGTGCCCATGTGGCCTACTAGGAAATCCAGCACTGCCCAACACCAATGTTACGGCCATGATAACCGAGATCTACCGATGTTATGCTGTAGTCTCATCGTTTTAGATTTAGATTTTTTTATTTGCGTTATCATCTCCATTAAAGGAGCAGATACTCACTAATCAAGCTTAAAGTGCACCCTAACTGCTCGAATGAAACTAGTTTTTTTATGCAGAGGTTCCTTGACAATAACGCTTTATGTATTCAAGATATTTTATTCAAGCATGTCATCCCTGTATTTAATTAATAATATTGATACATGATATTGCAAGATCACACGTCGTCCATATAGTGGAACAACATTGAGAGAATGTAGATATTGAGATATTATACTGACTGTTTCAGCCATAAAGAGAAAAGTAGGACAATTTAGCCCTTACTACAGTAGATAATGATTTCTTGTTCTTACAAAACGTTCTATTAAAAAGTAGGTAATCACTAACTGCTGTGACCATTTATTTTTTTAAATTAATAGCGGTAATAATCCAAATCATCCCACAGGTGGTTGCAAATTTCTGGTAAAAAACCTGTCATCATTCGTATACCCTGTATTCACCCATCACTGAAATTTAGAAAACTACTCCCAGCATTGAAGTGTGGGTAATGGTCTAGATGAACCCGAAGGGGGTGGGAGTGGGGGGTCGATAGAGGAGGTCTCCCCCACCACTGCACCATAAAAAGTTCGTGGCGTTCTCACCCCCCATAAAAAGTTATGGGGGTTCAAAGTTAATAAAAATGCCAATTTTTATACATTTCTAGGCATGTAAATATTTATATAGTCATTCTTAAACAATATTCAAAGGTAAAACTAATGAAAAATACATAAAAATATTGAGAAAGTTATATAAAACATTATTTAAATATTATTATCAATAGGGTAGGTTAGGTTAGGTTATCGGGTTTTGTTCAAGTGACCACTCTCTATCGATCCCCCAACTCCACCCGCTCGAAAATATTTTTTTTATTGAATTTTATTTGAATTATAGTGTATGAAAATTGTCAAAATAATCAACTTTCAACCCCCATAACTTTTTATGGGAGTGCGACCGCCGCAAATTTTTTATGGGGTTTTACTCAGGTGACCACCCTCTTTCGATCCCCTGAAAGGGGTGGGGGGCCATCATCTAACGCCCATAACTGTTTATGGGGGTTAGACCGCTACGAACTTTTGGGGGGGGGGGTAACCACCTCTTTCGATCACACCCATCATCTAGACATTTACCGAAGTGTGTAATATGGAAATACAAGCTTTATAGAACGTTTTCTCTTATTTTATTTCCTAGAAGGGGTTTGTTCTATTATTTTTTGTCGATTTTATCTGTATAAACAAATAATCTAAATTTGTATAACGCAGAAACTGGTTTTTGATCTGGTTGCGGGTATTCCCCAACCTTGTACGAATACGATTTCAACCAACACTGTGAATAATGTCGTGAAGAGTACTGGAGCCAACACATCAGTCATAAAAACAAAGTGTTCTTCTGTTAATGCGGCGTCAGTTGTAAAATGTCATGGAGTCTGTACCAGCAAACTAACCACTGGTGCTAGATCAATCTGTTCTCAAACGCCCTGTGGCACTCCTTGTTCCAGAAGTGAACATGTTCTTGTAAATCGAATTTCTCAAGACAGAAATCGAGGGATAACAAGTTGCAAGGGTGATCTTGATACAAAAATTGAGGTGTACTATTTTGATCACGGAAACAGCGCGTAAGTTTTGGTAATTGTAAGGGTGTGCCCTTTTAGATTTAATAGTTTTGTTTTATAAAAGCGTTTGAAATTTCTTTAAAAAAATTGGTACTAAGTACAAAATTATTTATTAGGTACTTAATTAATATAGAATCGTGCAGAAAAAAAGGGTTGAAGAATATGAGAGGAAGACCAAGTTTAGAAGGATTGAAGTCATTTTGGCTTTACGGGTAAAACTACAGGTATTAACAGATATAGCGTATACATAGGATTCGTGGATCTAGAGGAAGCATTGGGAAACATTAAATAGGGTTGTAACGGAAATGCGCATCCGCAACTTCGAATGATCCGCATTAATTTTAATATCCACACCCTTCTCCGCATCTCCAAAGTTAAATTATTATTCGTATCGGCGTATCTTTATAAGGATATTTATTGTATTACGATATGGGGTACTGCTTTTTATAAACTATAATCCACCTTTGTTAGATTTTCGATACTGACAAATACTCATCATCATAAGGTCGTCAGTCCTAAGACTGGTTGGCAACGTACCTCCACTCTTTCCTACCCTGAACTAAACGTCGCATCTCCCTACAACTAGAACAATCCATATCCTTAACTATTTGCGAACAGTAATCTAATCTAGGTCTACCTACACCCCTCCTAATTCCTGTCTCTACCTCTAATATGTCTCTGATTAGACCTATGCCTGTGAAGGTAACCTATCTCGCCTATTTCTTATTGAGTTCTATAGAGTCCTTTGTTCTCCTATTCTTTCTAATACCTCTTCATTTCTAACCTTTTCTATTCACGTTATTCTCATCATTCGTCTATAACACCACATTTCGTAAGCTTCTAACCTTTTATTTTCCGCCGCGCCCATTGTCCATGTTTCGCACCCGTACAACGCCTTTAATGACAAACACTTGTCTAAAATATACATACATAAACAATCTGAATCGCAATAGTAAAACGAAGGAAACATTAAAAATAGTATTGTTATTAACTTTGATTCCTTAAACAATCACAAGGAATAACTAGTTTTTGATGAATCGGTTAATGTTTTGTTTTTGAAATTCTCAATTGAGAATTGTATCTGTTTAGAATCTTTTTTTTATCTTCGTGGAAGAGGGGAAATCTTCAGAAGACACCCAGTCATCCGAACGACTGACTAGTGTCGGATTCCCGAGGAAGAAGTCCTCGGACCTACCGACTAAAACCCCTCTACCTCAGGCCGTTCTAGGACCCATTAAGGTCCTCTTCAGCCGATTTAGAATCTTAAAAGTACACATATTTATAATTTACTCCAACGCCCACAATAATGATGGAAAAATTAGAAGTGGTTGATACCTGAAAGTAGATCTGGTTATGAAGTTACCAGTTCAGGTACCAACCCTCCGAGAAATTTCAAGTCTGAAAAAACCAGATAATAAAATTAGTTTAGCTGATCGTAAGAATTTGCATTTATGACTAGGGAACAACATCTATTTACAAAATGCACAGATAGGTACATATTTCCATACTGTCGGAGGTAAATAAAGCAATAAAATCCAAGAATTATACTAAAGATAAACATAAACTAGAAGATGTCTTTGTAACATCCAACATTCCGCCCGCCTTGAAGGGTTCACCGTTAAACAAATAAGATTTTGTTTTTTAACACTTCAGAATCACAAACACTCACTATGTTCGATTGAAAGTGGACAGATTTTCGTAATTCTGCGCTTGAATTCACCCTTGGTTGTTTTGACGGTAACAGTTCCAGTGAACCCATCAGGTCCAAAATGTAGCTGAATTATCTTCCCCAAAACCCATTGGAGAGATGACAAATTTTTTAGGACAGTGGTGTCTATCTGCAGACTAGGTCCTTGTTTCTTCCATTTCGATCGCTATTGGAATGCTGTTAAATATTCCCGTTGCCAACGTTTCCAAAAATGTTGGGATAGTTGTTGGATCTGTTGCCATCGAGAAAGTCGGTTGATATAGGTTTCACAGGAGCATTAAGTGGACAGCCTATAAGGAAATGGCCCTGAAGATAGGACGTCCAGTTCGTTTGCGGAATTGGGAATAGGAGTAAGAGAGCGTGAACTGAGGATTGATTCGATTTGGGCTGGCAATGTAATCATTTCCTCAAAGATAACATTTGCGTCACCCATCACGCGTTTAATTTGAAAATTTGCTGATTTAATTTCAGCCTCCCAAATCGATTACATTTTTATTAAAATCGTTTATGCAGTTGTCGAAGCTCATCTTTTCATTATTTGAAAGTGTACCATTCTCAATATGTATGAAAATAAAAGGATTAAATAACGTTAATAAATCTACTGAGTATTTTCAGAGAAAAACGAAATATCCGTATCTACATCCGCAAGGTAAACTTCACTAAATTCACATCCATATATAACGTTAAGTATGATAACATGGTGATTATAATGCTTAAAAATGTAGGGACGAGATAGTGGAGGAGAATTTAAGCAGTAACGTAGAGTAATAAATATTAGGAGAGTAGTTGGACAAAGATGCACAATTACCGGTAATTTTTAATTGATATATCGAAGGTACATTTAATATTATTAGAGACAAAACAACTTCTGGGATAAGATATACAGGGACAAAAGATTACTAGATATACTTAGATTTGGGGACGATATAGTTGTATAATGAGGATAATGAATACATGAGAAAGAAAAGAACAGAAATCAGAAGGTATTGGAAAAAGTCGGGCAATACAGAATATACTACGGAAATCAATAAAGATTAGGCTACTTTTCACAGATAGTAAGAAATGTGTTGTTCTAGATTCAAAGATTAGCCCAGGACAGAAAGGAGTGACGTGGGTGTCCAGTCGATCCTGTTGATAATAAAATGATACTTTAAAACGTTTCAAAATTGCGATTTAGTAAAAATTTCATAATTATTATTAATTACGTGCGTTCGTCCCTGAAATCTGGGGGAAAATATCTTATTTTCGGTAAGAATATGGTAAAAATATCATAGATTACGCACCTCGGAACGAAAGTGATTATATCACACCATGCGTCGTTTGCCATCCGCACCAAAGGCTGAAACGCCTTCTAGATAATGTAATAATTTCGGTTCGTTGTTTGGTTTCACCCTGTTGTAAATGTAATTGTTTTAGCCTCGTATAGAAGGATGAATGGTCGGACTTTCGGAATAAATGTGACAAAAAATAATTCTTTCTATTCACAAATTGATTTGTGAGATCCACGATTACTATTTTTATACAGGAAGTTTGAAGCCTTAGAACTCTTCTAATAATAATCTTCATGCTGCTTAAATAGTAAATATTGCACCACGATGCGATGTAGCCATATACATAGAAACTAATTACTTAAAAATTGAGAGTCTAGTCAACAAAAACAGTAACCAATATAAATTTTATTCATTTGCAGATATTACTGTACCACCGACAGCCCACCCATTATTGATACTGACGTCTTGGGAGAGAAAAGTGAACAATGCGCAAAACGATTCTGGGCCGAAAGCTTTGGCACAGTATATATTGGAATCACTTTATTCACAACATTTGTTTTACAATTTTTTAAGTAAGTGCATTCTTTACCTATATTAAAAATACTAGAAAAAATAAATTCATTGGAGCGGTTGTTGCCGAGAGTTTGAGGTATGATGGTCTACCGCTCCTGCTGACCAAACATCTAATAAACCAGGATATTTTAACCCGGAGTCCATGGATTCTGTAGGAATTTATGTCATGAGTGCATGGGGTCCCATGGCTATATAATAATTTGTAAAACTACGCGCTGTCTGTTTGACTTTTCGTGTCATTGGATTAGGCGTTCAAGTGGTACAAAACAACTCTTTAATTAAGGTACTTATTCAGCTTAACCAACAGTAACTTTATCGGTTTAGACCATTGCTTACCATTTAGGAAGTCACCGGTTTGATTCCGAGTCTGCCTTAGTTTCATTGAGGCAGCAAAATTCCACAGAAAATCTTTCACTTTTTTCTGTCTTTATTTCGTTTGTCTTTTCTTTCTAACCCCAACCGCCATCTACCCACTCCAACGATTCTTAATAGGAGACTAACTTTCTCGACTTAGACCATTGCTTAGCATTTAGGAAGACACCGGTTTGATTCCGGGTCCTCCTTAGTTTCATTGGGGCAGCAAAATTCCACAGAAAATCTTTCACTTTTTTTCTGTCTTTATTTCGTTCGTCTCATCTTTCTAATCACAACCGCAACTACCCACTCCAAGGATTCCTAAAAGGAGTCTAAGAAGGACTTTCCACCCTACTCAGGACGTAATTCGGAGAAGCTGTCCATCAATTTCATAAGTACCTAATGCGAATGAAACACCCAAGGATTTTTGAAATATCCTTCTTTCTAATTACTGATTGTAACACAAACACAAATTTCTATTGTCTTCCAGAGTCCAGTCATTGTTAATAAAATCATATAGATCAAATAGATCAAGAAACTGATCTAGACATAATTCTACTCTTCTTTGAGTTTCTGGATTCTTTTAAGACATGGAGGACAAGTTTCCATTTCTTTTATTAATTAAAAGAATAATTCCATTCTAATGATTACCTTTTTTAAAAAGGGAAGTGGTACCCCGTGCACTTTCATCATGCTTCATATCTTGGGTCATTATCAAAATATTATTCGTAAAATCAGCTTTTAAAATCTTTATCATTCTAAATTCTTTTAAATGAAAAATAGTACATTACGTATCGAGGGAAGAAACAGGGTTATTTCAGACTGCATATGAATTGTCACCCGATCCGAAGGCGAGGGTGGCAAACATGCAGTCTGAGACATCCCTGTTTCTTCCCGAGGTACGTATACTATTTTTTGTCATGTTTGTGCGGAAAGCTCGTTATTAAATTGATAGTTGGCGAAATAAGAGTAAATGATTTAGAGGTTAGAAAGACATTGTCATTGAACAACTGATTTCTGCGCATGCCCATAAATTTCAGCGCATGCGCTCAAAAGACTTTTCCTCGCGACTAAAACACGGCTGAAAAGAGGCCATTTCTTCCCTATTTAATAGCATGCAAAACGAGCTTTCCGCGCTAACATGACAAAAATGATATTTTCACTTTTTCCTATTTTTAGTAGAAGATAACTTTAACTACCTCGCATTGTTTTACGACTGAATCTAAAGTATAGATCTGAATTTTGATTAATTACTTCCAGATTTTTACTCTACGGTCTTATTCGTCCATTGACGGTAGGTCTGCTTCAACTGGCCTGCGATTACTTTTTCAAACCTTTTTTGGCAATACTATTTAATGGCTTTGTTCAGCCGATACTTATATTTTTCTACAATGTGGCAACATCCCTTAGAGATCTTTGCGATCCGATTGCAGAAGGCTGTGGATACTTTTTGCACGAACTTGCATTTTTATGCAGATCAATAAGATTGTTCGACTACAAATCACAAAAACCTAACAAAGAATGTATTAGGGAGAAACGATCAAAGTGTTGCGCAAGTCCTGTGTGCAAACACAAGAAACAACAAGTAATAAATATACCCCCCTGTTGTTAAAGATTAAGACTAAAAATATATCTGTTATTATATACATACATATATAATTGTATTTTCTCAATTTTACAATAATTTTTACTTATACACATTTATTATAAACATATATTAACTGCTATAAAGTAAAGTGATTTTTGTCTAATAAAACAGTTTTATTATTCTAAAAAAAATTCGATTTATGCATCTAGAATTAAGTAATTGTATTTGCATTACAATTTTTTTACATTCATAATCGCCCTTACTTTGGTTATATCTGAATACGAATGCCCCTTGGGCTTACTTTTCTAATGTAATACTATATTTTCAAAAACCTGAAACTTGGTAACATTTTTGGTATACTTCCTTTAGTTTCTGTAGCGATGTGACCTTCAGTTTGACCGGCGCAAAGTAGAAAAGAACAGCAGGCCAGAAAAGGAAGGAGATAACTCTCGGCCAAACTCTTAACCGGTGAGGAGCATATAATCCGTACAGTACTGCACGGAGAAATTGATCATTTTATCCACTACAATTGCATTGCTCAAATGTGCTGTTATTGGTACCAATTACTACCGAAAATATCAAGGAGACGTTTATTTATATTTGAAGACATATTAAAAGCATTAACGCTTGTTTTCGACTGGCACTACTATTCATGATCGAACAAAACTTTTGGAAGGTACTGTATGAAAAAGTATATTTAATGAACAAGAGTCGAGAGTATCCAAGACATTGAAAGGGGCACATCGCTAGAGAAAGTAAATGAAGTATACCCTTGGTAGCTTTTATCAGTAAGCAAATGGTACAATTTCCAAATGAGTTTAATATCTTATATATTATATAGAAACATAGGAACCATAATTATTTTTGTAAATTAATAAAGAAGAGAAAAATGATTTAAAATCTTTTTGTGACCAGTGTTATGCAACTAATGAATTAAATGAAACTGTTACCTAACTCAAAAGTTAAAACAAAGGCAACTTCGAAAAAACTTTCAACTTAATTTTAGTTTCAAAATAAAGAATGGAAAAATAATAAATTAATATAAGAAAATAGTACACCTACACAGAAGGTACTTAACACCCTTAATTTTAATTTGTTTTCTTCATATACTACTCTACTTTTCCCAGATAAAACCCATTTAGCACATGATACCTAGTTACTTTCCTTTTTCTCCCTATTTTCTGTAAAATTTGTTAATTATTTTTTATTAACGAATAGGAATAAATTTTAATGGGAGAATGATGTCAATTTATTTTATTTGTCTAGACCTTTTTTGAAATATGTACCTGCGTATAATGCACCCATAAAAAATGAAGTCGTAAGGTCAATAATTGGAGTTGTTCAAACCTGTATATTCATCTAAATATAAAACCTACGATATGTATGTATTTACAACTCCAGAGCAGATGTTCTATATTCAACAAGACAGGTAGGAATCTCCCATCCAGGTGTTTCGCTGATTGATTTGCGCTTGCGTGTATTTCACAACCTAAACAATAAAACATGTTGCTTCCCTTTCTTTGCGACCAGTTGCATTTAGCTCGTCGACTGGTGTATACCGTCTACCATCAGTCGAAGTTAGTGAAGGTGACAGTTAAAGAGTTACTGTTTTAGTAGAAGTGTCGTGCTGAATGTGACATCTAAATTTTTAATGTAATTAGGTGTAACAGAAAGTGAAATTGAAATTCTAAGACGTGTGCCAACAAACTTAGTGACATTGATCGTTTTGAAATCATATGGAATTGACCTGCATCGAGAACATGGCCACTACAAATTTTGCTAAAAAGGATCCAATAATCTTCAGGGATTCACGTGTCATTGAAAATTTGCTGAAGGATCAAGGCTTTTATGTCCCCAGATGCAATTATTTCGACGAAGTACAAACTGACATTGAGCCTTTCATGAGAAAAGTTGTCACAACTTGGATGTTGGAGGTAAACAAATCAGACGTTATTTGGGAAAAATAGATTTATCAGACTTGCTTGAATAGTAATCCATTAACACGTTATTTACTAATTCCTTTTACAGTATACAATAGATAATAGATCTCATCATTTTTAGTTATTGACCTTACAAAAATAACCCTAAGTATATTTTACGTTTTGATATTCATCAGATGACATACTTCTTATAGGTACATACATTTAAATAAGTATCTAATTATTTTTAGGCTATTGACAACTTCTGTACAATAGTAGGCATAGTATCTTATATGTGTTTCATAGAGAAGGTTACAGTATAAATGTAAACTTTTGATTTTACAATATTACAAACAGTGAACAAGCAATATGTTATATATGCCTACCTATTAATCAAAACAATTGTGCAGTTAACAGGTAAAATACCTCTATTAAATTTATTTGTGAGTGGTTTGTGTTTATAATCGAGATCAAGAACAATAAATATTTATTATTTATTGCTGTTTCTTCTACTTCTTCGTTTCGTGGGATCTATAGATTTTTAGAATGTAGACTTATATGAACGTGAATATGTATAGGTTAGTTTAATTGCGAGAAATGAATGATAAGAACTGAAATACTGCTATTTATACATTAAGCACACAATTTCAATATTATAATTATGAATATTATTTACTGAACAATTAGAAATGTTATATCTTATGGTTGGAGGGTAGGAGTTGGGTCATTGTTTTACTTTATTTTACGCTTGGGGCAAATGTTTGAAACCTGTGTGCTTACCTAATATTTGAGTGTATTTTATTTTATTTTTTATTAGATTTATTTAACATTCATCTCTCCCCACGTAGCGGGACCATAACGTACTACCTGACCCCTCCCATCCTTATTACTCTGATACGTTAGGCGGACATTCTAAAAGTTTACGTTAGCATTGACCCCCTCCCAGAGCAATAGTACCCGGTTGGACTCACCCCTCCCCCCAATACGTGATTAATAGACAAACATTTTTATCTAATCGATGCTTCTGTATTATTCTAGGTGTGTGAAGAGCAAATGTGTGAAGATCAAATTCTACCCTTAGCTATAAATTACATGGACCGATTTCTTTGCGTGTGTGCCATTAAAAGACAGCAACTCCAACTTTTGGGAGCCACTTGTTTGCTGATAGCCTCAAAATTTCGAAGCAGTAGCGTGCTGACAATTGATTTGCTATGCGCCTATACGGACTACAGTGTCACCTACGATCACATTTCGGTAAGTCAGTTAAGATATTTTTTTTTATGGGTGGCGCAACTACTTTGGGACAAAATAGGGTAGTGCTCTAGAGTTCAAAGAGTCCTTGGCAAGACCACTTCTTTCTTCTTTGACAAATAAAAATTTAGTCATATTCACGGTCAAATTCATTGAATAATATATGGGGTCGCTATCGCTCCCAGTAGGCACTAGAGGCTTACCTGAGGGGTCGTGGTAGCTCTAGAGGCAAATGAGGGGGTGCGTTATAGCCTGTGGCCGTGCCTACCTATTTAAGAAATTTATAAAGCTGAAAAGTATTTATTAAGGACCCCGATTCCCCCTCCTGTTTTCGTAATAAAAAGACAGATAAGGATATTTCATATAAAAGTGTAATGTTGACAGTTATTTTATGGGCATAGGGTTTCTTCTTCTAAAATGTGCGGTGGTCCAAAAAAGGTTGTACACGGTGTAGCAGAAACAAGTGCGCACATGATAGGGCAGTATATAGCAAGAAAATTAAGTAAATGTTTGTATTCCCGAAAATCCGCGGTTTTCGAGAAAAACGTACTTGAAGGTAGTTGAATAAAATTTCAATTCGGCCCTGGTAAAGAAAGACGACATGCAACGCCGCACTCAATCAGCTGGCAATCACTAGCATCCGTGTAGTATTTGTTTTGTATTGTTTTCCTCATGTATTGTTTATTTGTTAGATTAGATTAAGTGAGGTTCAGGGTGTTTATGTTAACAGTCAACCCCTAGTAGCCGTTCATTTTTTTAACGTTTAAATTTTATATGATGTAGTTCAATAAGCTAATTCAGCAATACAATATCAATCATTAATGTATGTTACTGTAGAACAGTTGTTACAATAATGTGATATAATACTAATAACTAATTTACGGGTTTAAACTATATTGCTGCTGTAGGGATGGTATCCATGATTTCAAATAAGACAATTTTTGTCCTTAACCACGTCTTTAATGCTCCGCACTTATTTCTGTTACACCTATAATAATTTTCTACGTACCTGCGTAGATATAGGTTTATAATAATGATAATTTGTGAGACTATCTCCTCTGAAAATTCAACTTTCTGAAATCAGCTCTCTATGAAAGCGACTAATTAAAGGATGCAATCTATACATATAATTAAAATGCAACTGTGCCTTATAAGGACAACGGTCTTTAATATCCCTTTTGGCATTAAGGTAGTTGACGTTTGAAATCTCATTTTTAGTTAAGCGTCTTAATTCCCCAATTTAAATCTGAGTGAGCTATAATTAAGAATTCATTAGACTAATTTTGGGGCCAAATTAAATCCTGGACAGCAGTAGAATACGTAAAAGGTGACCTTTTCGAAAACGGGTGTTTCCCCTAAAACACCGCCCCCACCGCATTTGGGTGCACCTTAAACAATTTTTACACAGTTTGGAAATTCGGGATAATTAAAGGCTATACACTTCTATTAAAATGCAAAACATAATATATAGAATATAAAAATTATGGTCACAGAAAATGGNGATGACTCAATAAATGTACGTGCATTCGATAACGTCTATGTAATAATGTACATTTAGCTTCATGGAGACGTTTAAAATTTTATTTGCAGGCCGCACTTTTTGACTGTAAGGTCAACTCAAACGTTGGTAGGTGACTGAATACATGTAGGTACATGCATTCATTAACGCACATTCAAAAACGTACATTTTTGTAGTTACATACAGACGAACGTTTATCTGTAGTCGGCACTTTTTGACCATATAACCAACAACTTGATGTTATTCCAGTAAAAGGCTCAGACAGACGGGCATCGATGACTTAATATGGTAATGTACGTGCATTCATCAATATGCATTCAATAATAAATATTTTGTTACAAACAGAAGCACGAACATTAATCTGTAGTCAGCACTGTTTTGAGCATACAACCAACAACTTAATGTTAGTGCAGTATAAAGCTCAGACACACGGGCATTGAAGACTTAATATGATACACGTACGTGCATTTATCAATTCGCATTCAATAACGTAGATGACTCAATAAATGTACGTGCATTCGATAACGTCTATGTAATAATGTACATTTAGCTTCATGGAGACGTTTAAAATTTTATTTGCAGGCCGCACTTTTTGACTGTAAGGTCAACTCAAACGTTGGTAGGTGACTGAATACATGTAGGTACATGCATTCATTAACGCACATTCAAAAACGTACATTTTTGTAGTTACATACAGACGAACGTTTATCTGTAGTCGGCACTTTTTGACCATATAACCAACAACTTGATGTTATTCCAGTAAAAGGCTCAGACAGACGGGCATCGATGACTTAATATGGTAATGTACGTGCATTCATCAATATGCATTCAATAATAAATATTTTGTTACAAACAGAAGCACGAACATTAATCTGTAGTCAGCACTGTTTTGAGCATACAACCAACAACTTAATGTTAGTGCAGTATAAAGCTCAGACACACGGGCATTGAAGACTTAATATGATACACGTACGTGCATTTATCAATTCGCATTCAATAACGTAGATGACTCAATAAATGTACGTGCATTCGATAACGTCTATGTAATAATGTACATTTAGCTTCATGGAGACGTTTAAAATTTTATTTGCAGGCCGCACTTTTTGACTGTAAGGTCAACTCAAACGTTGGTAGGTGACTGAATACATGTAGGTACATGCATTCATTAACGCACATTCAAAAACGTACATTTTTGTAGTTACATACAGACGAACGTTTATCTGTAGTCGGCACTTTTTGACCATATAACCAACAACTTGATGTTATTCCAGTAAAAGGCTCAGACAGACGGGCATCGATGACTTAATATGGTAATGTACGTGCATTCATCAATATGCATTCAATAATAAATATTTTGTTACAAACAGAAGCACGAACATTAATCTGTAGTCAGCACTGTTTTGAGCATACAACCAACAACTTAATGTTAGTGCAGTATAAAGCTCAGACACACGGGCATTGAAGACTTAATATGATACACGTACGTGCATTTATCAATTCGCATTCAATAACGTAGATGACTCAATAAATGTACGTGCATTCGATAACGTCTATGTAATAATGTACATTTAGCTTCATGGAGACGTTTAAAATTTTATTTGCAGGCCGCACTTTTTGACTGTAAGGTCAACTCAAACGTTGGTAGGTGACTGAATACATGTAGGTACATGCATTCATTAACGCACATTCAAAAACGTACATTTTTGTAGTTACATACAGACGAACGTTTATCTGTAGTCGGCACTTTTTGACCATATAACCAACAACTTGATGTTATTCCAGTAAAAGGCTCAGACAGACGGGCATCGATGACTTAATATGGTAATGTACGTGCATTCATCAATATGCATTCAATAATAAATATTTTGTTACAAACAGAAGCACGAACATTAATCTGTAGTCAGCACTGTTTTGAGCATACAACCAACAACTTAATGTTAGTGCAGTATAAAGCTCAGACACACGGGCATTGAAGACTTAATATGATACACGTACGTGCATTTATCAATTCGCATTCAATAACGTAGATGACTCAATAAATGTACGTGCATTCGATAACGTCTATGTAATAATGTACATTTAGCTTCATGGAGACGTTTAAAATTTTATTTGCAGGCCGCACTTTTTGACTGTAAGGTCAACTCAAACGTTGGTAGGTGACTGAATACATGTAGGTACATGCATTCATTAACGCACATTCAAAAACGTACATTTTTGTAGTTACATACAGACGAACGTTTATCTGTAGTCGGCACTTTTTGACCATATAACCAACAACTTGATGTTATTCCAGTAAAAGGCTCAGACAGACGGGCATCGATGACTTAATATGGTAATGTACGTGCATTCATCAATATGCATTCAATAATAAATATTTTGTTACAAACAGAAGCACGAACATTAATCTGTAGTCAGCACTGTTTTGAGCATACAACCAACAACTTAATGTTAGTGCAGTATAAAGCTCAGACACACGGGCATTGAAGACTTAATATGATACACGTACGTGCATTTATCAATTCGCATTCAATAACGTAGATGACTCAATAAATGTACGTGCATTCGATAACGTCTATGTAATAATGTACATTTAGCTTCATGGAGACGTTTAAAATTTTATTTGCAGGCCGCACTTTTTGACTGTAAGGTCAACTCAAACGTTGGTAGGTGACTGAATACATGTAGGTACATGCATTCATTAACGCACATTCAAAAACGTACATTTTTGTAGTTACATACAGACGAACGTTTATCTGTAGTCGGCACTTTTTGACCATATAACCAACAACTTGATGTTATTCCAGTAAAAGGCTCAGACAGACGGGCATCGATGACTTAATATGGTAATGTACGTGCATTCATCAATATGCATTCAATAATAAATATTTTGTTACAAACAGAAGCACGAACATTAATCTGTAGTCAGCACTGTTTTGAGCATACAACCAACAACTTAATGTTAGTGCAGTATAAAGCTCAGACACACGGGCATTGAAGACTTAATATGATACACGTACGTGCATTTATCAATTCGCATTCAATAACGTAGATGACTCAATAAATGTACGTGCATTCGATAACGTCTATGTAATAATGTACATTTAGCTTCATGGAGACGTTTAAAATTTTATTTGCAGGCCGCACTTTTTGACTGTAAGGTCAACTCAAACGTTGGTAGGTGACTGAATACATGTAGGTACATGCATTCATTAACGCACATTCAAAAACGTACATTTTTGTAGTTACATACAGACGAACGTTTATCTGTAGTCGGCACTTTTTGACCATATAACCAACAACTTGATGTTATTCCAGTAAAAGGCTCAGACAGACGGGCATCGATGACTTAATATGGTAATGTACGTGCATTCATCAATATGCATTCAATAATAAATATTTTGTTACAAACAGAAGCACGAACATTAATCTGTAGTCAGCACTGTTTTGAGCATACAACCAACAACTTAATGTTAGTGCAGTATAA